AAAGGCATGTACATATGTAAATATATTTATATGAGAGTGGGGAAATAGATCACATGCATATATTTATAGGTTTAGTATTAAGGTAACACAAGGACATTGGGCCTCCACTCAAATACTCCCTCAATGCAAGAAAACTTTCTTCTATTAAATTGGCAATCTGATACTTACCTTCCCAGCACAACCACTGAAGACAATGCAGGTGAATAAGCAAATGTGGTAAAGAAAGCTGATGGTGCCCGGCTATCAAAAGAAACAGTGTCTGGGGTCTTAAAGGCTTGAAGGTAAACAAGCGGCAAAAAAACAAACAAAAAAAAACAAGCGGCCAACTAGCTCAGAAGCATTTTGGAATTTTTACTGCAGCAGACAGAATCTGTCTCCCATGGAGTGACTGGTGGGTTTGAACTGCTGATCCTCCGGTTAGCAGACCAATGTTCACCGCCAGGGCTATCAAGGACACTAGTATTCATGTATAGTTAATTATAGTTAATCTTTAGCATTTTTTGATAGGATAGCAATATAACATGTTATTTTATGAAAAGAAAACTGACAGCAAAGTGTAGAGTCACTAGAAAGTGGCATCTTATATATTCCTGACTGATAAGCAAATGCGAGTAACAAAATCATTTTATTTCTCCCCCAATTAGATGTAACACTTTACAACGTTGCATTTTGATTTTATACTTGTTTTGTTTATATATTTGTTTATGTTAACACATTTCCTTACTAATTAACAGCTGAGATGGGTTTAAAAAAGTTTAATGTAAAACCATTCACCTTGCTGGATCGATATGAATGATAACAAGTTTCTTGTTTGAATAAATAACATACCTGGCCTGGTCTGCCTCATTAAGGAAATATTCAAAGACATTATTCATTATGATAACATCAGCATTTTGCAGAAGTGAACCTTGGGTACAGATGTCTGCATGAAGCACCTAAAGAAGAATTGAGTCTACATAAGTAAACAAGGGCATCAGATCATACAATCACATAAGAAATGTGTATTGGCTCATTTATGTCAATGAGGCAAAATAAGAAGTTACCCCAAACCAAACCTACTGCCATTGAATCAATTTTAGCTAATAGCATACCTCAATATATAGAAGATATATTGGGTTTCAGAGGCTGTTAGAGGTCAATTTTGCTTAAGAAGGAAGAAAGAATAATATATTTAGTACTACTGCCTATGGGAAATAGTATCTTTTAAAAACCCCAGAAACTTGTAAAAATTTATATATTTGTTTTAGGTAGAATTTGTGTTTGCACTCTATTTTGATAGTCATTATTTGGTATCTCAGCCTCAGTTTCCTCATGAATAAAACGGAATCTAATCTGTCCTGCATCACAGAGGCAAAGGGTACACCACATAAAATTATACAAAAATAACTTGCATATTATAAAGTATTAATGTAATATACTAATTGGCAGTGTCCAACTCTTTATCTAAAATTCACATGTAATACAAATACAAATGTATTATCTACACACAAAAAGTCATCCAAAATAAAGTACATTTACCTCAAAAAATTACATTCAATGTCTTGCTGAGGATAGGCAAGATAACATGAGAAAATATTCACTCAAGAGCAAAACAAAACACTTTCATTTTGAGAAGAGAAAAATATTTACTATGTATCATATAGTTCCTTTTAAATAATCACTTTGTCTCAATTATAGAATAATATTTAGACTGTTGGGGAGGTGTCTAATATTTTACTCTTTACTTTTAAGTAAAAATATTAAAATAGTTTAATTAACATTACAAGCTCTAAAAAAATCAGTTAATTAGCTTTCTAAGTTCAAGCCTTCTAAGCCCCAATTTAAATAGGAAATTGATATATAAATTATACCACTGATACATCTTAGCTTTCAAGAGTTTCTTCTTTCCACCCCATTTCCAAGCACTCTTTCCCCCCCAACACCACCCAGACTGTGTGAAAAGGAACCGGTCAGCTTAAGAATCCGGTAGGTCAATGAATTATGGCAGCAAACAAGAAATGGCTCTGAGCAAATTCTTGAATGGAATGCTGGCAGAGCAGAGGTCATAATGAACCCAAAGTCAGTGTAACCAGTACTTAATGGGCACCTCCTATGTGTAGGAATATAAACATCTTGGAAACATTTTTCAAACTCATCAGTTTGGATGGCTGACAGCACCTCCCTCATTTTTTTCTTCACTTTTTCTGTGTTGTCAAATCTCTGTCCTTTCCTGTCCCTCTACATTCGCTGAAACAAAAAGAAGTTGCACAGAGTGACTTCCGGTAAGTAAGGTGCAAGAGGCAAGAGAGATGCCAAAAACCAGTACAGAGATGGCTGTGTGAGCAGGTGCATTGTTGTGGTGGCAATACCAGTCCCCCATCTACCACAAATCACACTGTTACATAGTCTTTTCAGAACTTCTAAATAGAAAGCTTGATTAACAGTCTGACATGGTCGAATGAACTCCAAATGCACTATCCCCCTCACATCAAGAAAACAAATAAGCATCTTCTGTATCTTTGATTTCACCTAGCCAGCTTTTTTGGGGACGAGGTGACGATGGCATCTTCCACTGGCTTGATTGATGCTTGCTTTCGGGGTTTTAAGATTAGCACCATGTCTCATCACCAGTAATGACCTCGGAAAGAAGTGTGGGTGGTGCCCGGGCTGTTCTTTCAAATCACAGCATGTTTCCAAGTGATGCCTTTTCCTGGTCAGTCAGAACCGGAGGCACTAATTTCACAGCAAACTGTCTCACTCCCAAGTCTTCCATTAAAATTCCCTGAACTGAGCTCCAAGACAGTCCAGATAACTTCCCTATCTCTTCAATGGCCTGTTTTCAGTCTTACAGCACAAGTGTATGAATTTTGTCAACATTTTCATCCATTCGGGAAGTTGACAGATGGCCAGAATGAGGTCTGTCAGTAACTGGCATTTCACCGTTTTTGAAACGAGAAAACCACTAGTACACATGAGTTTTCCCCAGAGCGCTGTCCTTGTAACTGTGTTCAACATCACAACAGTTTCTGCGGCATTCTTCCAGAGCAGGAAACAAAATTTCACAGCTGTACACTGTTCTCTTAAATCTTCCATCACATAAACTGAGGTTTGAGGGAAACTGCTTTCATGAAAAAAATCACTATGACCAGAGAGAACCTTCCCAGGTGATGCCACTGGGTGCACTAACTCAGAACAAGTTGCTCAGTGCTCACCTAGCGAGAAAAATGTGTACTAGGAAAGCTCTGCCCAGTGGAGTTTTTTCTGTTTGGGGTGGGTACCCCCCTGTATGCTTATAGCTACATAAACACCAGGGATGAGTGTGGTAATAGGGGATTTAAAAAAGAAGGTATTAGTTCACAAAAATGTGAAGAATGTGAGAAGAAAAGAGATGTGTGTGTGTATAAACCACTTTAAAAATATATACTTAATATTTCTTCGGATTGCCACAAGAAAGAGGACCATTAGTGAAACAGTTAAGAATTAAACCACTAGCTTAAATAACTTTTTTCCCTCCTTATCCTTAAACACAGGGAAAGAGAAGCTCTGTGGAAGCCTAACCCCAGGCATCATTCTCCCATGAGCAAGTGCTGTGCCATTTACAGTCCTCCCAAAGGCTCAGGAAATTAGGGTTCAAGAACTGTGAGCATTACTTAACCCTTTTCAAAATTTCAGCATATGAAGTTTAAGTAAATACATTTCTTACGAACATGTAGTACCAGCATTTAAAATATGGGAGTAGGATATAACTAGAATGACCAACTTTTAACTAATGTTTTAATATATTAGTTAATTATTTCTATAATAGTATACATAATATACACAATCTATTCATATTTAATCTACATAACCTATTCCTACATAATAGTAACCGAGAGTATGTTAAAACAGAGTTTTCGACTCTAATGTATAGGAGATTTAGCTAGGTTATGCTATATAACCAAGAGAATAAATATTAAAAAGCATACCTTTATTCTATCAGTGAACTGATATTTTTTTATGACCATTTCCTGCAACTGGCAAAAGTCTTCATTCATCTCTACTCCATATAGTTGCAATGCTGAACTATAAAGATAACCCTAAAATAATAAGGATACATTTAGATGCAAATAAATCAAATTTTGATTATGAGTTTATTTCTTTTTAAAATCTAAAAAGAAATTTAAAACTATAATTCAATAAATGAAAAATAAAATATAAGTTAAATAACCTCATAGTTTTTATAAAACTTATCATTCAAGACCTTAAAAGATTTTGTTATCAAGGCTGTAATTAGAGTTTACTATATATATATATTTCCATTGTTTAAAAGTAGTTTTATTTTAAAACATTGATTCCATATCTTTCCCTGATAAAACTATGCATTCAACCATGTTGGAGATGAAAACAATGATGACATAGATTTCTTTTTTTCCATATAGATTCTTTTTTTTCTATATATAGATTCTTTTGGTAACTTTCTTGGTAAGTTACTTCAGGGAGAAAGAAGGAATTACCCTGTGGGAAATAGGAAACTATGCATAGTGTGACAACAAAGAAAGGTGGCCGGAGGGGTGTTCAGGGCTGGTCAGGGAAGTCAGCCCAGTGTCCGGAAATCTGTCCAGAATAATCTGCTAATGAGTTAACAAGGGCTATCAAGAATTGACCATCAATTGTTATGTATCGATTTGTAGTTAAAATAACAGTAATTTCAAAGGAAAGAAAGGGTCAAATGATTTTAGATCAATGTGCACCTATGTGGAAACCAAATTTGTATCTTTTGTAGAGTTTTAGACTATATATAATACTGCATTTGTAAACATTAAAATTCTATTGTGGACTGAACCAGTGACCTAATAGGTAGAAAATGACAATATATTCAAATTTATCAATGCTGCCATCATACCTGCAAAGCCACAATTATTTCAGCTGTATTCATTTCTAATGAAAATCAGAAAACAGACAAAAGTGATCAATTCTCCTATGAGAAGCCATATGAGACTGTATTTTCTTTTATGGCTATCGTTTATCGCTATGGCATACAAATTTTAACAGTAATAATGTATTTGTCATCACAGGGTTAACTGTTTCTGTCTAAGCTGGCAATGATGCTGGGATCCCGCAGTGCCTGCTTCTGGCTTGAGCCTCTACTGCTGTTGGCCACATGTTTTAACAAGTCTGCTAATGGCCACCAGAAACTGCATTTAAACTTTGAAAAAACCATTTAAGAACCTAAGGAATAGTGATGACTTGAATTAAAGATTCTAAAACAAAAAAACTAAAAAAAGATTCTAAAACAATGAGGTAATATTTTGAAAAAATATACATTCAAACATTGGAGCTCAAAAAGTGGAACAAGATGTGTCCTTCACTCTCTCACTGCCGTCGAGTCAGTGCTGACCCATAGTGATCCCTGTGAGTTTCTGATTCTCTTTATGACAGTAAAAGGCCAGTCTTTCTCCTTAGGAGCTGCTGGTGGTTTTGAACTGTCAACCATGCAGATCGCAGCCCAATGCTTAACCACTACATCAAGGCTCCAAGATGTATCTTTGGACCTCATTTAGTTTGTTCATTCAGAGACAGGGAACTTCAAGGTCCCAAGGTGTCAGGTGATTTCCTTATGGTGACATAGTTATTTCCTAGTCAACTACATTTGCAGGTTTACAGGAGCTTTTGCTTATCATAGCTCACTCAGCATAAGCTACACTGTCCAGCGCGAGGAAAGAAAGAGGCCAGAGGGCAGCAGTGACTGACAAACAGCAGTGTTTAGAGAGTCACATGACAGTTCTCTACTTGAGCTATACAAAGTGGCCAGGGAAATTAGTCAAAGACCAAAGTCACCTATTACCATTAAACAGGACTAAAGTGCCTGTTTATGCTAAGCTATTTTAACCTTATTATTCTATGACTCTAATAAATAAAACCAATCTATCACACTGGATGGTGGCAAGCAAAACTGTTGCTAGCAGAATGAAGTACTTTCCATATGTCAAGTATGTTCACAAGCTGAACTTTACCCCATAAAGGACTGTGCCGAGCCTGGAGCCAACATCAACCAAGATCTTTCCCGAGAGATCCGGGAGGACATGATGATAAATGAACTTCAATTCCATGAGGGAGAAGGAATGAGAAATAAATCCTGGAGGATTAGAACATAGTGAACATCAACTTTTGTTTGGGTATTAACAATTCCATTCTGTATGTCTAATTCTTTCACCTATATTTATAAAGCAAATTTCACTTTTTTATTTCTTGATCAATGATGGCCATCCATAGTTATTTAGGGACAAAAAATAATGTGGTAACTCCTCACTTATCCACTCAGGGCAGGACTGGAGAAAAACAAATATCAAGTCACAGTCACTGATATTTAAAAGCCTCTATGGAACAGCTACCCAGACGCCTGCCCCAGGCCGAAGGCCCCTCTTCCTTCCTTCTGCTGCTCGGGACGTTGTCAGGTCCTTGTCCTCTCTTTGGTCTGGTGCTCGCTGGGTTCCTACGTGACGCACCTTCTGGCCTTGGCACTGGACTCGAGAGCCAGCCTCAGAATGAACAGTATTGCTATAAAGACTATACATGATCAAATGACCGCATCTGGGGTTGTAAATGTAGCAGCCCTGACCAGCCTAGACCATATTCTGCGCAGGAGAGGGCTGGTATGAAAGGAGATTAGGGTACCCTCTCAAATTGCCGACTGCCCTTCAGTTAGTTGCTACATCCAGCTTCCTCATGCCCACCTTCTCACCCCAAATTTTGTGATGAAATATATGGGAAAGTCTGAGCCTGGTTTTCCTCTGCTATGGAGGCAACTCCACTTTCTACACTGTTTTACATAGTGTAATGGTCTGGAAGGAGAGAAAACATTGCCATTGACTAACAGATTGTGGCAAAGAAAATAGGGAGGCCAATCCCTTGGATGGGAATAAAGGGTGTGATTAGGCCTTACAAGTACCTGTTTCTCTGGAGGCAGGCTTTGATCACCATAGCCTTTATTTCCCTAGGATCTTCATCCACATTTAACCTATTGCCACACAAGTGCTTTGCTTCTGTCCTGGGCCACAGAGTCACCATTATTCTTATGGCTACAAAAGCTGTTAGACAAACCCCTGGTCACCCAGGGGAAGTCCCACATGGTTTTAGCTTTTCAGATTCATTTTAGTTATCTGGCTTGGCCTACGTAACCCGTTACTATTGACAGATAAATTTTTATGGAATGGTACATCTTAATCCTCCAAGTTTTACTTGTCACAAGTGACTTTTATAAGTTATGAACTGTTTGATATGCTGTTAATAGCTATAATTCATTCTTCAATTTTCCCTTTGTTATTCTTGTCTGGGTCCTTTTTTGTGTTGTAAACTTTAACTACTTTACGTAGAAATTATATGACCTAAAAATAAAAACTAGTAAATCAGGAAAGTTTAATCTCAAATTCTAATATTGGCAAAATGAATTCATAGAAAGTTAGCAGCTTATTCCCAGATTTGGTAGAATTTTAATGTCAGTAATGTAAGGACAAGGTTACTTACCTGATGGGGTAGACAGACCAAGTAGTAACTAAGCGAGCAGGAAAGTAGAAATGGCCGGACAAATAGCCCAGTCCTAGACAAGCATATCTAGCTTGGATCAAGAATGTGTAACTGGATAGTTAAAATATTAGCAGCAAGGACGCAGTCTAGTCTCCTGTTTCAGACATCGGTGCTTCATCTAAGGGGACGAGACTTGGAAACTTTGTCACGAGCATTGCGCTCTCTGATGAACCAGGAATGCTTCACTGGCTGAATCATGGCCTGGATAAACTTTCTCAAGATCATCTATCTCCGTCCGGAGTTCATGCGCACCCACAATATCTGATTACCTTCTGACATCTCTTATGGTTTCATATGGAGAATGAATAGAACTTCTTGCAGTTGTATTTCACATTATAAATTCATCTACATTATGGTTTACATGTCAATCTCTTGAGTTTAGAGAATATGCACTGGTTTCCTTATAGGTTCTGGACTGAAAAGTCACATCTGATTAATAGTTTCTGTATGTGAAAAGCAGACAGACCCCTGTGGTGAAGTGAAATTACTTTGAATACTTCTTCTACCCATGTCTTTGTAACTGCCATCAAAGTATTAGGTTGGACCATGCAAACAGAAGCTGTCAAACACTAATAGAGGAGATTAGCGGGTTTAAAGAGAGAACGAATTCCCAGGACCATCAGGGAAGAGTCACCAGCAGAACACATTTGAAATCTGTCTGAAGGAGTGGAGGCAGCAGAGACCATGGCACTCTCAGACACAAGGCCCAGGCAAGAATACTTGGAAACACAGCTAAGACTATGAGGCAAAGGAGCAGCCAAGTATCCTGGTCCACAAAGCCAGGGTCTAAGGAATCACGTGGCTGCGAGGCTGAAGACAAGAGAGAGAGAGAGAGAGACAGAGACAGAGACAGAGACTGACTGAGTTGCTGGCTCAGGAGAAGTATTGCTGTGAACTAGTAACTGTATGCTTAATGCTTTCTGGTCCTGGCTTGTGGTAACCTGTTAACTTCCCTAATAAACTCCCATAATTGTGAGTGTTGTCTTCGAGTTCTGAGTGGCCACTGCAATGGCTTATGAAACCCAGCAGAAAATTAAGTGCCATGGGAGGAACGGTGTCAGAATAGGGTAAAAAGAAATGGAGGTGGAGGAATGTCTGTGCCTGACCTCTGCTGGTGGAATTGGCCCTGGGTTGGTGAGGAGTAAAGATTCTCCTTTCCCCTTGCGTAGCTAGAAGGGGTCAGATGTGGCCTCTGTGCTACTTACTCACCCTCTATGACATTAGCCTCCGTACATAGCATTTGTATTTAATTTCAGTAACAGCAATATTGGGCAATGGCTTGAAAGTAGCACAGACTGCCAAAAGAACAAATAAATCAAGCTTGGAAGAAGTATACTCTGAAGGCCACTTAGTGGCACGGCTGGTGAGTCTTTGGACGTGTTATCAGGAGAGACCAGTCCTTGGAGAAGGACATCATGCTTGGTAAAGTGGAGGGTAAGCCGAAAAAAGGAAGGCCTCTGACAAGATGAATTGATACAGTGGCTACAACCATGAGCTCAAACAGAAGTCTAGTTGTGAGGGCGGCACAGACCAGGCAGTGTTTTGTTCTGTAGTACACGGGGCTGCTGTGAATCAGAACCAACAGGATGTACCGCATAACAGACGACAACATGCTGTACACTGGACCTCTGCTCTTGAAAAACATTGAATGACTTGGTCGCCAATTTGCACATTTGTGACATGTAAGGAAGACTCCGCTTTTAGGTATGTTTGCACACTTGAGTGCCTACCTAGAGGTGCAGTCTGCTGTGAGCCACACACCATACAGTAGTTTCTGCTCATTTTCCCTTCTTCACATAATGAATCAATAAAGTCTTCATCATAAAGGAATGCATCAACGTGAACTGTGGGTTCTGGGTGTTGCTTTATCTGGTGGAAAGAAGAAAAACATCAAAAGAAACAAAGTACAAAGAAGTCTCTTTTTATTGCTAAATAAGGGAAAACATCAGTGGTTCATATGCTAAAAATCTGGAAGCAACAAAAAGTCCAGAAAGGAAAGTTCTGCTTACTCAAGTCAGTAACTGCTTTTCTTTCATTTGCTTTCTGAGACACTATGAAGTTTTCTTTTGACCTGTAATGATGCAAAACATAGCTACACAAAATATGTAACATTTAGCTGTTATAAATCACCTTATTCATCCTAAGTAGTATGGATGAAGAGGCTTCAAAGAGTATGTGGATAAATCCCACTATATTTTCATTCCACCTTCCTATGAACTTTTTGAAGCTTCCTTGTATATACATATGCATTTTTTTTAGCACAAACACATTCATTTATTAATCAAAGGGATGATCCTAATCAAATCAACACTTTGAAATAGTTGCATGCAAAATGTGTGTGATAGAAGTAATAGAAAATAACAACAACAACAACAACAACAAAAAAGCAGTACGGAGATTTGCTTATTGAGCTTGTTCATTCTCACAGCTAATTCTTGTCCAAGTGATGATAGAATTTTTATTCTACTTTTTCATAGGTCTGAGTACAGGTGACCTTGTTCATAGCACATTCAATCACTAATTTTCCATCTTCCAATTTTCTTGTTTTTGTGTTCCTCTTCCCATCCCAATCCTGGTGTTGGACCAAAGCACCACCTGTAAAGCTGCAGACAGTCTGAGTTTTTCTGTGTCAGCCATGGTTTCTTCAAACTTTTCTCCCAGTCTGCAAGAAAACTTTGGTTTTCAAAGTGTTCTGAGTTTTAACAGTGAGGGCTTTGCCATCACAACTGAAGACACAGGCAGGCTTGGCCACTGAGCCCATGTTTTGAAGAGCCTTTCCTACTCCTAGTTCCCTCATGTATTCATCAAAGCCTTTGCTCTGGACCAGGCGCATGAACTGCTGAATGGTAGCCATGGTGGGCGAGGACGAGTAGACGAGCAGAGAAGGCAGAGGAGAGTCTGGCGGGTGAGCGTGGCGTTCACATATTTTCAAATAACACGTGGCATTTTAAAATAACATTTCATTGTGTTTCTGGTGAAAGCTGATATGGCAACTCAGGTCCCGAATTACTACTAAACTGTTTAATGACATTAGTTACATTTTTAACCAAGTGTCAGCATTCTCATTAATTCCATGCTGGATGTTTCGTTTCCAGTAATATGATTTCCCTGTCCTCTTGGTCATAATAGTCTTTATGTTATAAGACAATCTATTATTTAGCTAGGCCTATGTAGTATATTTTAAAGTCAAGAAACGGATACTCAGAGAAAGTCCTGAAAAGAAATTATGCTAGTTAGCAAAAGGAGAAAAGGTGAAATTGATAATTGGATATGAGCCTGACCACCTATCAAAATATTTAGTAATCTTTGTCCTGAACTTAAAGTTTTCAATAATGAAAATGTCATTAAAACTTAATTTTACATATCACTCACACTTAATACCATCAACTCAACTCTGACTCATAAGAACCCTACAGGACAGGCAGGGTAAACTGCTCCTGTGTGTTTCTTAGCTTTTAACTCTTTCCGGGAGTTGAAAGCCTATCTTTCTCTTGAGAAGTGGCTGTTGGTTTCAAACAGCAGACCTTGTAGTCAGAAGACTGGGAAAACTACCAGTATGCATATCTTTCCCTAGTTTTATATATTGCAGTAAATCATAATATGTACTTACACAATCTTACTACGAATAATATCCAAACATTTCTCATTACTTTCCTCTTTTGAGGATCCATTCTGAATGACTGGATATTTACAAAGATTTTTAAGATGCACTGGTGGCAGACAGGTTAAGCACTTGGCTTGCCAGCCAAAAGGCCAGTGGTTGGAACTTACATCTGTTTCAAGAGAGAAAGATGTGTCATCTGCTTCTATAAAGAGTACTGCCTTAAGGCCCATATGGAGCAATTCTCCTGTCCTTAAAGGTCACTGTGAGTTGGAATCATCCCAATGCCAATGAGTTTTCACTAAGATTTGTTGAGTTCATAAAATAGAAAGCATATTAACACTGTAAAGGTTTTAGTCCCTATGGTCTGGCATTTATAGATGAAAAGAACACATCAAAGATTTTTTTCCCCCTTCAGATCAATAGTGAAGTAGAAATGATTTGTTTTAGAAAATAATATTCATAGCATATGTCTCCCTTAAGAGTTGGAATGTGAAGGAACGAGAATGTGGGGATTTATGAAAGTGTGTGTGTGTGTATGTGTATATAAATATACACATACACACACACACACACACACACTCATTCTAGGAATAAAGGAATAGAAGAATAAGCAAAAAAATGGGCAATTCAAAAGTAGAAGGAAACAAAAAGTGAACATCCCACTTGATAAGAGGGAAATAAAACAGGAAAGAGAGAATCAGGACAAGGAGGTCGGCAGAGCCGATTTCTGTTGGGTCTTGATTTTCTTTCTTTGCATGCTTGGCAAACAGGAGGCACTTAATATATCTATTAGATGAAAGGTCCTGAGAAGCCGGAGGGTTAAGGAGTAAAAAGAATTGGTGAAATGGTTGAAGCATTAAATAAAATTAATAAAAGCTTTCAAAGCAGAATTTAGGACTAATTAAATCGAAGCAGTTACAGGATTGGGGAAGCAGTGAAATGTTTAAAGAGAGAAAGTAGAGTAAAAAGATCTAGGTATTAACAGAACTAAGATGGAAAACTAAAGAAAGAAAGGCTTTTATTAGAAGAAATGGAGGTCAATGGGAATAGTAATGGCTTTGTAGAAAAGACATATTACCTCTCACCACGTTCATATTAGGGTATTTTAAAATTACATATAATAAAAAGAATGAAGAGGTGAGGGTCAACATAAAGGTTTCTTACAACAGCCAAAATTTAGTTGATTCCAACTCCCGGCTATCCTATAGGACAGAGCAGAACTGTTACGTAAGGCTGCCAAGATGAAAGCTTTATAGAAGCAGATTTCATAGTTCTTCAATGGAGTGGCTGGTGCATTTGAACTGCCAACCTTGTGGCCCAACACACCCAATATACCACCAGAGCTCCTTACGAGTTTAATAAAAAACAAACAAACAAAGGAATCAACAAACATGCTGCAGTTCTGACTGGAGGCTAAAGCAGACCTGCTCCTGTGGGTTTACAAGACTAAATCTTTATGGGAGCAGTAAGCCTCACATTTCTCCTGCAAAGAGTTGTAAGATATGATAAAATAGGGTAAAAACCATCATGGTGTAAATTCCATTAAGAGCTAGCTAGAATCATTTCCTTTTCTTAACAGTTCTTCCACAGTGCCTAATAAAAATCTGTTGAATTGAAACAGATAAATCTTATAAATAGTAAGAGGAAAAGGACCTAAGATCAGGTACAAATAAAAGGTCACCAATATGTGGTATAAAAGGGTCCATCCATATAAAACAGGAAAAAGACAGATAGGAAGACGTTACTGGTATTATTTTATGAACAGAGAAAGTATGTAGGATGGTCATAATGTTTTAAATGTTCAAATGTTAAAACATGTTCAAAATGTTTTAAAACATTTTCATCACCTCAAAAAGTTCCTCGATGCCCATTTGCAGTCAATCCCTTCTACCCAAGTTTCTAAGCACTATATGCTTACTATTTTAAAGAAAACAACAAAAGTTCCTAAAAGGTACATACTTGGTAAAACTGACCTTTTATATAAGAAGGGATGCTGGTGAGAGGCAAAAACTGAAATAGTAAATAAATGTTTTGTTGAGAGGGTCTAGAAAAAACAAAAAATATATATTTTCTATAGGAAATATTTTCTTTTACGAACATAAACTTCTATTCAAGAAACCTTGATTTTCTTTCAAATATACCCCATGGCTACAAGCCAAAGAAAAAAGTCGATAACACCTGCTCTCGTTAGGTTGGCTAATCATCTTTTAAATGAAACTTAAGTCTTTCTTTTCAGACCTTGTTACTGCCTGTCCTGCTCACTAGAGCGTCTGAGTTTTGTTGGGTTTCCTGGGTTTTACTAACTTACTTTACTATGACCCAAATTCTAAATAATTAAACCAACCTTAGTTTCCACCACAACCCGACAGGCCCCTGCAATCAAGACGCCCCACAACACTGATCCCACACTGCATTCAGTACAGCACCTGGCCTGAACGGATGCTGTTCTCCTCATTCTGACTAAGGGTTTTCAGAGCCTAGCTCCAACCCACCTCCCAGGGCACTTTTCTTGATTTACTTCCACTGTCTTTGCTAGCTTTCTTCTCTGAACTCCATCTACGTTAAATTTAGGAATTTATCCTTAACTGCTGTGTATTTTGTTAGCAATTGTTTTATCAATGAGTTTGATCTTTACAACTGTAACACACTCCTAGAAGGCAAGGAGATCACACTTCATTCATTTCCCGTGTCTTCCATAGCACGTATCACATGGCTGCGGCACCTGGTGATGGCCAAACCATCACTCTAATTTAAGTAGAATCCTTAAGTGGCACTTAGAAGAAATTAATGTATTTACTTTTTGCAGGGCTAGATGTTCTGAAGGAAGCATAGTTTCGAGAGGTAAATAATTCCGAAGTTCTTCTGCTATGCTTTTCAACATAATATCATTATTATCTTGAGTGAATTCATCAAAATCTCCTGTGGTGGGTAGAGAAAAGAAGTAGGTTTTATGGTTGTACTGACATGTAAATTAAGTGATTATAATTGATAACTTTCCACCAATAATACCTATTTATAACAATAATCCTTTTAAACATAAACAAATAGATGGTTAAAATTTTTAAATTGAAAATGAGGGTTCCCTCCCCTTTCTAAATTGCTTAAAAATATTAACCTTCAGTCTGCCATATAAAGTAGCAAAGGCATTTTGAAACATGTTGCATTTTAACCACTTTACTTGTACTCAAGAAAAAAAATCAAATTTGCTACTGTAAATGGGCTCCCATCCATGACTCCATGTTGTTAGAGAACTGCTTCATAGTCGTTTTTTGTCTACAATCTTCATGGAAGCAGATCACTGGCTGCCAGTGGGTGGGTTCAAACTGCCAACCTTTAGGTTAGTAGACCAGCACAAATTGCATCACTCAAAGACCTTCACTCAAAAATTGTACCACCACTGGTTTTTAGAATCCTAAACTCTCTTAGAAGTAATCAAATATTCCTGCTCTGACCATACAAGCCTTAGAAATTTAGAAGGTATTACACAGGCTTACTCAAAAAATAATCCTAATCTGAGTGTCCGACTCCAATACAATGTGCCCAAGACTTAAGATAACAAGCACTAACATTTGGCACCAGCTATGGAGTAGGCGTTAAAGAGCCCTCTGGCATAGTAGATTAAACATTGCGATACTAATTGCAAAGTTGGCAGTTCAAATTTACCAGCTGCTCCTTGGGATAAAGATGAGGCTCCCCTCTCCCACAAAGCTTCAGTCTCTGAAGCCCTACAGAGTAACTGTTGTCTGTCCAGCAGGGTCACAATGAACTGGAGTTGGCCTGATGGTCATGAGCTGAGTAACGCAGTAAGTTTAAAGGGTGCTGGGGCACTGTGGGATAAGCACTGGCTGTCTACTACCCACCAGCTTGGGGGCAGAGTGGGGTGTTAAACTCAGGCATTCTGCAGGAGAAAGATGCGGTCATCTGCTCTCCATAGGATTTCGTCTTGGAAACCATAAGTTCTTTGTCCTATAGGGCTGTCAGGAGTTGGAATGGACTCAGTGACAGAAAGACATAGTAAGCTTCTCAACAATCATGCTGCTCTGCTGCCTTACAACAGCAGATAAAACGGTAATTAAAATAGCATAATTTTAAACATATCATTCGCGTACTTTTACGAATTTACAGTCCTGGAAAAGGTGGGAACGGTTCTATGCTGTCCTGCAGGGAAGCTCTGAGTTGGTACGCGCTCCATGGTAAGGAGCAATGGCCTATTTTGAGATGGTCTGGCAAGAGATAAGTCTGTGAGGATAGTAAGCAGATGGAGCAGGTATGATAAGATAGTCAGTGAATCTTGGTGAGGGGGTAAAAGTGGTGGTCATTGTTTTGTTGTTTCAACTTTCATGAGTTAATTTTTAAAAAATTGACCCCAAAAATATTATTTCTAAGCAGTTCACATAAAATTTTAATAGAACATGACTTATCTCGAAGCACAATATTCTACTAATGAAATGGTAGTATAGGGAACAAACGTATTTTATGTTTCTCATCTTTTTATTTATTCTTTCCTTTTCTGATTAAACAAAAGCGCACCATGATGTTTCAAAAAGTATGGCAAATGCCTGGGAATGTAAAAGCTGTCATTTACAATGTGTACCACATTTAGACCCCAGGGGCTGTGAATCAGACAGAAGTGGTATTCATTCTAATTAAATAACCAGGTTATATTATGACAGGTTAGTTTGCAGCATCAAAATTGGCCATTTCCCATTTTTTTGATGATCAGAGGTCCCACATGGTCTCCAGTTTCTTCATTGTGTTTTGTGTGAGTTCCATCACAGGAGAATGCTTTAGATCTCCAGCAATGGCAGCACCCAGCTTATCTCCCAAGTCTTCCGTGTCAAAAACAAGTACCACCTTAGGCTTGTCTTTCTGGGTATGAAGATTTACCATGGCTGTGTGGCAATGCTCTTGGACAGAAAATCTCTTGTAAGCTAGATACCTATTGCAGCTGTCCCAGCAAGGCTCATGCGGATAGAGGTAATAAAGAGGCGAGGAGCGTCCTAAGGTACAGACACAGGGCTGCTATGGACAAGTGCCACGGCAGGCCGTAAGCATGTGTGTTAGGCCCTCGCTGGTAGTGAGCATGTGCCTGTTTCTCATTTTTTTAAAAATCCAATTCCTCTAGGAAATTGTGTCTTTCTTACAATTTTAAAGTGGTACTAGGAGAAAAAGAAGGAGATTTTATAGGGACTACCATTTATCTCCATAAACTTAGACTCTTATTTTTGACTGTTACTAAATAAGCCTCATGATCTCCTTCATAAGTATAAAATAATGGCTCACAATGCTCAGTGTAAGTCACAAAAAACAATGGGCATTCAGGAAACATTTTTTTGGCTTAAATTTTTGTTTTCATTTAGAAATTAAGTCATTTAACAATTTAAAAACTCATGTATAGAAAACAAATCAAAGATTACATTCCTTGATTTATAGGTGAGAAAACCAATTCTTTAGAGGATAAGTGAATTGTTAAAAGTTACAATGCAGACCAATAGAACAAGGATATATAAACATGTATTTTCTGCCTCTAAAAATAACACACTCTTCTGACCTCTACAAACAGAAGAATATCCCATGCTCGTGGATCGGAAGACTTAATATGTAAAGATGTCAGTCCTGCCTAAGGTGCTATATAAGTTTAATGCTATCCAATACAAATACCAATATCTTTTTTCAAGGAATTGGGTAAACTGACTACCAACTTCATATGGAAAGGAAGAAGCCCAGAACTAGCTGAGAACGCCTCAAGGAGGAGGACAAAGTAGGAGGGCTTGCTTTACTTGACTTCAGCAACTATTATACAGCCACGGTGGTCAAAACAGCGTGGTACTGGTATAATGATATTCAGACCAAGAGAATAGAACTGAAAACCCAGAAATAAAATCATCAGCATACAGACAACTAAACTTTGATAAGGGCCCAAAAAATATCAAATGGGAAGTGGATGCCCTCTTCAACAAATGGTGTTGGCAAAAATGGATATGTACCTGCAGAAAAATAAAGCAAGACTTTTATCTCACTCCATGCACAAGAGTAAACACAAGGTGGATCACAGACCTCGTGGTAAAACCCCAAACGATTAGGGTCATCAATGAGGGAATTGGGACAAACCTAAGAACTTGGTGCAGGGAATACATAGGCTATCAGAAATAAGGGAGGACACCAACACAGAGGAAGCACAAATTGACAAGTGGGATATACAGAAGATAAAACACCTGTGTACACCAAAGAATTCACCAAGAGAGTAATAGAGAGAGCCCACAGAAGTGGAAAACTTCTTTAACAATGACACATCATACAAAGGCCTTTTTACTAAAATCTACAATACTCTGTTAGCCTACAACAAGAAAAAAACAAATAGCCCATTGAAGAGGTGGGCAAAGGAACCAAAGTTTCACAAGGGCAGAAATTCGAATTGCTAATAAACATATGAGAAAATATTCCCGATTATTAGCCATAAGGTAAATACAAATTAAAACAACTATGAGATACCACCTAACACCCTCAAAGAAAGCCAAATTCAAAGTATCAGAAAGCAACAAGTGTTGGAGAGGTGAGATATGAGCTCTCATCCACTGCTGGTGGACCTGTAGGTATGTACAGCCACTATGGAAATTGATCTGGCGATATCTAAAACAGATGGAAATTGAGTTACCATACGACCCAGCAATTCCCCTACTGGGCATATACCCAGAAGAGGCAAGAAACAGTGTTTGCTTCGGCAACACACGTGCTAAAATTGGAACGATACAGAGAAGATTAGCATGGCCCCATGCGCAAGGATGACACGCAAATTCATGAAGCATTCCATATTTTTCAGAGGGGTCTCGGGGAGATGAGCTAGTCAGGGTGCGATGTAACAATGATGAAAAATACAACTTTCCTCTAGTTCCTAAATGTTTCCCCCCCACTCCCAATACTATGACTCGAATTCGACCTTGCAAGTCTGGCTAGACCAGAGGATGTACACTGGTACAGATAGGAACTGAAAATACAGGGAATCCAGGGCGGATGAGCCCTACAGGACCAGTGGTGTGAGTAGCGAAACAGGGAGGGTAGAGGGAGAGTGCGTAGGAAAGAGGGAACCGATTACAAGGAACTATATGTGACCTCCTCCCTGGGGGACGGACAACCAAAAAGTGGGTGAAGGGAGACGTCGGACAGGGAAAGATATGACAAAATACCAATTTATAAACTATCAAGGGCTCATGAGGGAGGGGGGAACGGGGAGGGAGGGGAAAATGAGGATCTAATGTCGGGGGTTTAAGTGGAGAGAAAATGTTTTGAGAATGATGTACAAATGTGCTTTACACAATTGATGTGTGTATGGATTGCGATAACAGTTGTATGAGTCCCTAATAAAATGCTAAAAAAAAAAAAAAAGGCAAGAAACAAACCACAGCCAGACATTTGTGCTCCAATGTTCATTGCGGCACAGTTCACAAGTGCAAGGAGTTGGAAACAACCCAAATTTCCATCAATTGATGAGTGGATTAAAAAACTGTGGTCATACATATAATGGAGTACTACGCATCGCTAAAAAGCAGTGATGAATGTATGAAGCACATTGCCGCATGGAAAGAACTGCAAGAAATCATGCTAAGTGAAGCAAGCCAGGCACAAAAGGAGAAGTACAACATGAGTCCACCGAGGTAAGCTTAAAAAAAATGCAAAAGGGGCATAGGGAAAAAACTACTATATACAAACAGGTATCAGGTAGTATGGTAGGGGCCAGACCAAATCCAGGGATAAATATGGTAGCCAACTATAAAGGTAGAGGAAAAAAATAAAAAATAAATGGGTAGTAGGGGAACAGGGCACTAACGCACCCAAGGGGAGGGTATTGTTTTTATCTCCACAGGGAAAGAGGGACCACACTTCAACCTGGTGCTCCAAGATGTGAATTCAATATGCCGACATGGAGTAGAGAACCAGTGAAGAGGTCTGAGGGGCTGGCCCCAATCCCAATTACATGGACACCTTCCCCTTCCCCCGGAATAATTTATCTCAGAGGACAGCACTGAAACTACAGCTCAGGGAGAGGGACATGTCGAATCAGAGCACAGGGAGCAAATGAAGGGGAGGAAGAGAGAGTGGAGCACATCCTGGCCCACCAAGCCTTGACGATACTCCCGCTCATAGCAACCAATCCACAGAGAAGACCATATGGTGGGCCCCACTATGAGACACAACATCCTCACTTACCCATGGCCCTACAGGGGACAAGAGTGAAGACAGTGTAAGAATTGTGCCCGATCTGATCCCACTACATCGAAGCAAAACACTAAGGGCATGCAACAGAACAGCAAGGGGACCAGAGCAACGAAGGCCCGGGGAATACCAAAAATAGACTTTGGGGGTCAGTTCTTGGCACCCCATCAGAATCAACGGGAAAACACTCCTAAAAGCCAACAAACAGTCCTCGAACTAATTACAAGCTTTTCTTTTTTGTTGTTGTTTTCTTTTGGTCATTGGCTTTTTGTTGTTTTGTTTTGTTTTCTTTTGTTGCCTGGTTTTGTTCTGTCTTGTTTTTGTGCATGTTATTATCTCCACAGGTCTGTCTAAATAAGATAGATTGGATGAACAATCTGGAGGAGAAAACAATGGGCCCAACTGTTCTGGGGGGACACTGGAGAGGGGGAGGTAAAGGGAAAGGCGGTGGTGTTAACAAACCCAGGGACAAGGGAACAAGAAGTGATCCAAATCGGTGGTGAGGGTGTAGGAGGCCTGGTAGGGCTTGATCAAGGGAAACGTAACTGAGAGGAACTACTGTAACCCAAATGAACACTAAGCATGATAGTGAGACAAGAGGAAAGTCAAAGGAAATAGAGGAAAGA